GTTCTATTAGGCGCATTATTACATCTTGCACATTCTCTTTTACCCTCTGAAGTATGTGATCTTACTCCTCCTTTACCAAATTTATTGGAACATGCAAGTACTGGAAAACATCAAGCTTTAGCAGCTGTTGCAATTTTGGAACGAATGCATACTATGATGCGACGAAGACCAGCACCTGCAAGTCTATTTCTTGATAAAATTTTACAAGCTGGTACTTGGTTGAGACCAACATTACCAAGACGTCAACGAACATCTAGTAGACATTGGTTACGTCGAGAATCACCAACTACGCCTCTTTTAAAAGATGCTCAAGTACTCAGCTCTAAAGACGCTCTTGCCTGGAATTGGCCTGTAGTACGATCTATATTACGCTCACGTGAAGATACTTCGCGAATACTACATGATTCTGATCATAGATTATTTATGAAAAGACTTGTACGTTACTTTAAACCATGTTCCAATGGTTACAGTAGAGTAGAATTGGCAACAAATGCTAATCTTGCACGTGAAGCAACATTAGCCGGTTGCGATTTATTAAACTGTTTGCTTGAAATTCCGGAACCTGAGAGTACAAAATTATTATTTGAATTAATTGCAGATGTTGATGAGCAAATTTCTAGTATTCGAACAGCTCAATCTGCTCATGAATGTTTGTTTTCACCTCGTCATATGTCTACTACTTGTTGTCAAAAGTATTTTTTATTTCTTGGGCAATTGAGTCATTCTGCAAAAGGAACTAGAATTCTCAAAGAGTTTCAATTATTAGGAAAACTGCAAGATTTGGCTCTAGCTACTAATCACGATTGTTACGTGAAACTTATAATATCAAGCTTAGATTATTCTAGAGATGGACCTAATAGGAAAGTATTAACTAAGATTATTACAGAAGCAACATTAGATAGTACGCGACTATATGCTACACAGTTCCTTCGATTGATACTCAGAGCCAGAATGGCTGATGCCTATCGTTGGGCAATAACATTATTATCAGAACGGCTGTCAGATATCAATAAAACTATAGCATTAACTGCATTAGAGGCATTACATGAAGCTTGCGAGGAACCAGAATATTTAGAAGCTTTATTACAACAAGGAGGACAATCTCGTGATTGGGATAAATGGTTGGAAGAATTAGGTGATAAAGGTTACTTGTTAAAAATTCGATTATATTCTCTTCATCAAGGTTTTACAACACTTTCGTCTCCCGCGGAAGAATTAGAAAAATGGATTAGTCCAGGAGGTTTTGCAGAAAGATATGTTGGTTTAATAGAGGGAGAAATACATGATTCTTTAACTCGTCGTCAAAGAAACGAAACAGGAAGTTATCATAGAAGAACAAGTAATGTACCCATGACACCACATAATATTTTTATTCTACCACATTTAATAGGTCAATTGGCGCAACATGATTTAGGCATGCAATTATTGTTACGTCGAAATGTAATACAACGATTTACTCGAATTGTTCAACGATTTAGACTGGAATTCGGTAATAGAGATTCAGAATCAAATTCAAGATGTACTAAAACTAATCGTTCTGTGATCGAAGATGCTGGTGTTATGTCTGAAGAATCTGGTACGGAAGAGATAATAGAATCAAATAGATTAGAAACTATAATGGATTCCGAAACTGTAGAAAGTGTGGATATATGTTACCCACAAAAAGTTGATTCTTTGCTCGATATTCGACGGAAGACAAGTCTAGACGATTCTAGACGAACCACTCCAGAAAGAAGCTGGAGATTGGAATCTGAATCTCGAGAAGAACAAGTTTCGAATTTAAATAAAAGAATTTTGAAAGTAAAATCTGCAATATGGGCACTTGGCCATATGGGAACTTCAACAGCAGGAGCAGAACAATTGAATCATGCCGGAATTATAGAATTATTAACTTCCATAGCAGAAACGTGTTCATATTACGTAATAAGAGCAACAGCTATGTATGCTCTTAGTCTCATTGCCACCACTCGTACAGGTGCAGATGCACTATCGACTTTTGACTGGCCTTGTGTTAGACACAGACGTGGGGATCATTGGCCAGTTGTACCTCCTACGAGCAGATATCCAGCACCAAGTCCAATTCCTATACAACGACACCATCGAAGTCTTAGTGATGGAAAACCAGAGTTACCTGAACCAGTCGCTCGTAGAACTAGAAATCGATCTGAAAGTGCAGCTACCGATCTTGAAGCTAGACGCTATGCTCTACCGTAAGGATGTTTTAGGTAATATTGTATTATTTAAAAATATATTTTATTAAATGGATTTACAGAGAAAGAGGAGAGACACCCAGTCCTGTTTCAAGTATTCAAAGATTAAGCCAACAAGATGCTGAAGGATATGCGAGACTTCGTAGTCTTCAGCGTCATCGGAGACCGAGTTATTCCCAAAGTAGCTTAGAGGCAAGAATGTTAAATATTGGTTTTTTGATTTACATAAACATTTTATGTAAATTTATTTTATTTTAGATGTATAGTTTAGATGGCCGATTATCGTTACAAAGTTTATCTGAATTTGATTCATCTCGCAACTGGATTGCGGAACAAGTACTCACTCCAACACCTCCATCTCCTGAAGATAATCACGATAATTTATTTTATATGGGTATTGCTCTTCCAAAAAGACTTATAACTATTTTTCCGGAGCCATTACAATCATCGATTCCAGCTATAACATTGGATGATGCACCTAAGTCTGATGTAGAAACAACTGAAGTAGACGAAGAATCTTGTTCAGAGTGTGACGTAGATGCAGAACATTATCGTATATGTTTAGTATGTTATCATGGTAAAACTAGCAGCAAAGAATCAATTCCAGAAAAAGACTTAAAGTTACAGAGGTAATATTAATTAATTATAAAGTTACAATAAAATATATTGTAAATAGATAACATTAATTTTATATCAATTTTGTAATTTTAATAATATCTATATTATTCAAATAGGAAAATACTTAGACATGCGCAGCGATTGGCAAATCCTGTATGGTATCGTAATAGTCGACAAACTCTACTTAGATTAAGACAATTACATTCAGAAAAATTTCAGGTATTATACATTTATATACATATAATATTAATATATTAAATATCATTAAATATTTAATATATCTAATTTATATATAATTTTACTATGTGTTATAGGATATTTGTTTATTTTCGGATGTAGCTGCTCGTTTAGGTAGTAATACGTATAGGATGCCAGCACGACGATTTTTACAAGAATTATTTTTAGATTCTACATTCGAAGCAGTAAGTTGTAACCGAAAAATTTACATTACGATATGTAAAAGAAGTATCTAATTTTAATATTGGAACACAGCTTTATGTAGAAGCAGCTAATGTTTTAAAACTAAACGATGGCAATGATGAAAAATTCTTGCGATCTTCCACGGCACTTGAACCCGATTCTCATGTGCCTTCAGAAAGTAAAATCAATGGAAGACTTACTTTTTCTGATATTCAAGTAGCACAATTAGATGTTGTCGCTGAAGAAACAGGAAATGATTCTTGTGTGACACAACAATGCAATAAACCGCAAGAGCTTTTATGCAAATCAGAACGACGAAGCGACGAGAAAATAATAGCCGAAATTTTAAAGCCAGAAGAAAGGATACGTTTGTCAAAAAGTTCTGATAGATTATTAAAAGTATCAGGTACAAACACTGCCATCAGCCTTGATTAGTAATCACCAACTTTCAGACAGGTGTAAATATTTTGTATTAAAATAATTACGAAATATGAAATAAATCACACTGCCAAAAATTGAATTATAATCCTATAATAATATTTCTGTGTGATGAAAATTTAACAAAATAAATTTAATATAATCTTGTTTATCGATTAATTCTAATAGACATGATATAAAATAGATACAAGATAGATTCAACATTTAATGGAACATTGTATCTTATGAATTAGATCGTACAAAAAAACAAAGTTTTTGATTTGGCTTTTATGATTTAGAGCAGTGAATTATATTTGTAATTATATTTAATTCAAAAAATGATAAATTCAATAAATAAAAATAATTATTTGGATTCGACTCTTAAGGGCATAAATTTATGTAGAGAAGATATAGACAAGAAAAGTAAATAATAAGAAAAAGATAGAGATAGGTTTAAAATTATTGAAATCAGCGCCATCTCCAGAGTGCCGCAAATGAAACATATAGAAAGGATAGAAAATGTTGAGACAAAGATAGAGATAGAAAGTAAGAATTGACAGTTAGCGTCATCTTTTGATTATCCAAGATAATTTTTCCAAAGAAGGATAAGGTAGATTAAGAATTGTCTATCAGCGCCATCTCTTGATTATTAAAGATATCTTTCAATTTTTTTTAAAAATAGAATAAAATAGAATTACAATGACAATTAACAATTAGCGCCATCTCTTAAGTATTCCTAGTACTAAAATATAGCACTGATATTGAATTCTTATTGTTTTTTTTAAAGAAATTCCTTTGATATTCGGGAGATGGCATTAACAATGAATTCTAGCTCTATCTCTATCCTTGTTTTAATATCTTCTATCCTTTCTACATATGTTTCATTTGCGGCACTCTGGAGATGGCGTTGATTTCAATATTTTTATCCTATTTCTGTCCTTCTTTTGTTATTTACTCTCTTTGTCTATATTTATTTATACCTCTTAGAGCGTAACCAGACGAGAATATTAATTGAACATATTTTCATTATTGTTTTTTCAAAACATTTTAATCTTTAACATAAAAAAATAAATATTACATTCTCATTCATAATAATACATATATCTTATTGTATTTTAAGATTTAATTCTTTATTTTGTAATATATATATAAATAATTTTTAAATGTACGAAAAGGACATATATAATAATTTTTTATATATATATATTTAAAATGGTTTCCATTTTTTCTGATAGATGGCAGTAAATGTTTTTATCGTATAATAAAATTAGAACCTCAATCTTTATCAGTTTTGTATATAACTATTATAAGTGATGTATGTATTTTGATACAATAACTACATATTTAATTTTTTATATGTAAGTTATATATATATAATATATATATATATATTAATATATATTATATTAATCATCAATTCTATCAAATATATAATATATGATATATGTAATGAATAGAATAAGAATTTCAAATTTATTTGATTAATAATCATATCACATGACATTTTGTAATAACTTGATATTTTATTATTTAATTTGATAAGTAATAAATAAAATTGAAGTATAAAAATTTGAAGTTTTATATAGATCAAACATGTCTGAAAATAATAAGATTATACTTGTAACTGGTGGAACAGGACTAGTTGGTAGAGCTATTCAAAATATTATTAAAACAAATAAAAATGAAAATGAAAAATGGATATTTGTAGGTTCTAAAGATGCAAATTTATGGTAATTTAATTATTAATTGTTATATTGGTATATTAATTATTCAGACAAACTTAAATTAAAATATGTTTTCAGTGATAAACTAAGTACAGAAAAATTATTTGAAAAATATATGCCTACACATGTTATTCACTTAGCTGCTATGGTTGGTGGTCTATTTTATAATATGTCACATAATTTGGATTTTTTGGTAAATAGATATAATTATTAATAATTATTGTTTTCTTGATATTAAATTAATTAAGATATATTAAGAATATAAGATGTTATAAATTTCTAGCGCAATAATATTCATATGAATGATAATGTATTACAAACAGCTCATGAACATGATGTTGTCAAAGTAATATCATGTTTGTCAACTTGCATATTTCCTGATAAAACAACATATCCTATTGATGAATCTATGGTAATATTTTTTTATGTTATTTTTTAAATCTTCATTTAATTATTATTTTTTTTTCATTAATGATTAATTTCTCAGGTTCACAATGGGCCACCTCATCCATCAAATTATGGTTATAGTTATGCTAAGCGTCTTATAGATATTCAAAATAGAGCTTATTATGAACAATATGGTAGAATTTATACTAGCATTATTCCATGCAATGTATTTGGTCCAAATGATAATTTTCATCCTAGTGCTAGTCATGTCATACCAGGCTTAATGCGTAGACTTTATGATTTGATAAAAGATGGTATAAAATATTTTTAATAAAGTCTTGATTAAATTATCAATTATTTTATTAAGAATTTTGTATATATTGATACATATTTTTTTAGGAAATACAGAAGATAAAGAATTCACTGTATTAGGTTCTGGGAAACCATTAAGACAATTTATTTATAGTTTAGATTTAGCTAAATTAATAATATGGGTTTTGAGAGAATATAATTCTGTGGAACCAATCATATTATCAGGTAATTAAAAAAATAATATGAGATATTTATGTACATTATTTTAAATTATTATTAAATCATTTATCATCGGCATGTAGTTGATGAATGTCAAGAAGTTACAATTTCTCAAGTAGCTGAATCAATTGCCCAAGCTTTTAATTTCAAAGGAAAACTAATATATGACACATCTGCAGCTGATGGACAATATAAAAAAACAGCAAATAATGGAAAATTACGAAAATATTTGCCTGATTTTCAGTTTACACCATTCAATCAAGCTATTAAAGATACTGTTGATTGGTATATAGAGAATTATGATCGCGCGAGAAACTAACGGAAACCAATTATTAATTTAATATTCCATTTAAATAAATTTGGCTGTGTATAAAATAAGAAAAGAAAATCATATTGTTTCAGGCATATATTCTGTAATTTAATGTAATATAATTTAAACTATGTTTAAGTGGCGAAATTATAAAGGTTTGAATATAATTTTAATTGTATTGTAAATTTTCAAAGCATAAAATATATTTTAAAATTATAAAATAAAAAAAATTTATTTTTAATCAAATGTTCAAAACTTTGATTTTTTTCAGAATGAATTAATATTTTTTTTATTTAAATTTTAGCGATCGCGCATTAAATGTTATCTTCATCGAACGTTTAGTTCTCAGCCATTTATTTAAAACTGTCATCAGATATTTGCAATAGAAAATATTGATATAAAAACAAAATATAATTGAATATTATTTAATTTATATATTTGAAACAAGAATTATAAGCCAATTTAAACTTTCTTAAAAAATAAGGTAAAAAAAAAAATTCATTTAAGCAAAGAGATAAAAACTGAGTAATTTCTGAGTAAGAGATAAACCGAGTAAAGTGATGAATTATTTGTGAACGATGTTCGACAACTATCATGCAAACGACCAGCAAACGCTAGTCGACGCGACGCAGTGTTTGCCGCACAGGAGACGTCGCGACGCACGCGCGCCCGTTAACATAAATTGAGCGCCCTCAGGACCGTGGAAGGTATACGATGGCTTAAATTTGGTGCTCAGTCGCGCTCGAGGTGGCTCACCTCGACGATCGCGAAACTATGTGTTTTTCTCGCGATCTTCTCGCATCCACGATGTAATGCTTTTTCGGCACGTGGTACATCTCCGTTTCAGAGTTTTGTGAATAAAATGCATCCGTTCAGATTGTCGTGTTATTTCGAGGATTTTTCATCGGAAAAAATAATGATAATAACGAAGAGACACGCGTTGCGGCATCGTAGACGGTAACGCCGGCCGATCGGCTTTGCCGGGGGAAATTCTACTTCTTCGTGTCTTTCATCCCTGCAAATAATATCAAACGAATTATCTGTACGATTAATCATTAACTCTTGATGTTTCCAGTGGAACAAACGGATATCATTTATAAAAACTTGTGATGAAAAAATTAAAATTGTCTTAAAGAGACTCGTAAATCTAAATTGTGAAAAAAACTTGTGTTCAGAAAAAAAGATAAAAATATTGTGATATATGTGAGTTGGTTTATGAATGTTTGTTACAGTTTGATAATTGAAAAATGTATCGAGGGACATCACGATAAGCACGATTTGGTAAGATGAATTTTTAAGGAAAGAATTATGTGATTTGTATGTTAAAAAGAAATCGAAAAAAAGAAAAAAAAGAGTGAATTTTTGCCAATAATGTGAGGGACGTGGTCGAACCAGAAGAATTCTAGAATTCAAAGTGTAAGTAATATGCATAGCTATTTTGCTAGAGGTAATAACTTGATTAGTATCGATTTTGCGCGCAGTTGAAGATATCAGTTAGAGATTAGAAATAATTTTTAGAAGATGAGATTTTATACTTTACGTATATATTTGCTGATATATTAGATTAAATTAATGCTGAATAGACGAATTTTTATCACTTTTATCTCAAAATCGATTAAATATAAATCGATTAAATATATTTCTTTTTCTTTTAAATTTATTTTTTTTTAAAACATCGATTGATAAATTAATCGTTGCATTCACTTCAGAATTTCTTTTTCGAAAAACAATGATTTCCTTCTTTAAAATTTTGCGATTTTCTTAATAGATTTCGTTTATACGAAAAAAACGAAACGAATTTTTTCGAATAGCGATAAGAAGATTTCGTCTCTTAGATCAAATTTTTGAAGTTCTGGGCTATGGGTAGAATGAATGTCTTTAGAAGCGTTCCACTGTTTAAAAGTTTCACCAATTTTCGAAGAGAATTCTCGAGGATTTCAAATATCTTTCAAGACTTTGCATCGGACATATAAAATTGCAATAATTTAAATTTTATTTTTCGTTTAATTTCAAAATTCAATTTAAAAAGATGATATGATTCTATTTAAACTTTTCATGGAAAGCTTTTATTTTTTTAGCTTTTTTATTTTTATTAAAAAATTGTAATATCGAGAATAATTAAATATATAGAAATCTTTATTATCATATTTCCTTCCATCCCACGGAATTGTGTTCTCTTTTTGTCCTCCATTGTTGCACGACGCGTATTCTTCTCCCAAAGGAAGGTAAAATCATCCCGTGGCTCACAATAGTTTCGCAAAACAATATTCTTTTAAAACGAATAGGACATTCATTAATTTTAATCTATAGTGATAATGATGAAAAAAAAAAAAAAAAAAAAAGGAACGAAATCTAACTTAATTGAATCACTGACCTAAATAGTTCCCTCTAAATCCAATAACACTCGAATATTATAGATCGTGTAATCTTATTTATATCTCTCTCATAATGAAAACATTTTTTTTTTTTTGAATTAAAATCATATAGTTTACGATATATTAATTCAGAACGTTTATTAATGTAATATGAAAATATAATGATTGCACGAGCGTGTACGTATACATATATATACATATGTAATCAAAGAACGCATATTTCATTTACATATTGAATACTATCGTATTCATTTTCCTCTCTATTATCTAGCGAGAATGATTGCGTTTTTTCTCTCTCGCAACGCTGGAAGATAATTTGCAAGTCAATCCAGACCAAGTTCCCGACGTGATTCAGTTTCTTCATCGGAGGACCACTATGCGGTGTCGTGGCATCGAAGGCTCGCTCGTTCGAGGGGAACAGCGCTCGAGAGATTTCCGATAAGTTTGGTCGCGAGGAGGATGGAGAGAATCCGCGGTCTACCGGAACAGAGTTACGGAAATGCGCGCCCCGGAACGCGACGACGACCTCGACGAGGCGATTGGCGTTCGTTTCGAGTTTCAAAGAGATCCCGGAGTAAGGTTCAAGTTCGCGTCGATCGGTGATTCGAGGATAAGGCACGGTTTAATCGCGGCCCACGTTGAAAATCGCTGAAAATCGTGAAGGATCGTGACCGATTGGATGGAAGATAGGGACGACGAAACGATCGTGAAGAAGAGATGCCTGGTATCGTGGTATTCCGACGCCGATGGAGCGTCGGCAGTGACGACCTCGTCGTGCCCGGTGCTTTCCTCTTCATCCTTCATCTGATATGGTGAGTGAACAATCCGATTATTAATAACAAAACCCCGATCAATCAATTTGTCCCGGTATGAACGTCGTTATTTTCATCAGTTTCAAGAATTCTCAACGTCATCACGCGCGACAGATATCCTTGTATTTATAAGGAATCCTTAAAATAGGAATACAATTCCCGCGTGACCTATATTTTTTACTCGATTTTTATTAACTTGTATCATGTGAAATTAATATTTTATTTGCAAACTGATGTAAAAGCGATAACATTTTTAACGATAATTGAATTGATTTCGCATAAAAAAAAACGACGCTTGTTAATTTTCATTTTTTTTTCCAGAAGAATAGAAAAATATTTTATAAAATTAATATACATGGTCGCTAAAATCTTTTTCGATCGTTATGATTTTCATCACGATTTTCATTAACATTTTCAATCATTGTTTCGTGAACAAAATATAATATTAATTAATATATCGGCACGCTTCAACTGCACTATGGCCTAATTTTTATTTAAATGGGAAAAGTATTCTAAAATTAAAAAAGTAATAACGAAAATTGAAGATTCATAATTGCATAAATGCAATATACAAGGAAAATTTAGAATGTAATCAACAATTTCATATGGTACGATCTAATATAATTTAATATATTTCTCATATATGTATTTCAATTTGTTTGATAGAGAAATCTTCATAGTTCATGATTTCTCTCGTTTAATTACTATCGTAATTCAATTTGTCTTCTCTTCATATGTAGCTCCATGTATGTAAAATTGGACGATTAATTTATTGTGTAATTAAACGTAATTAATCTTATGATGTAAGAATTTCTTGCGAAATATCTTGCAATTATTAATTATAGATTCAAATCAAAAACTGGATTACTCTATATAATTTTCAGAAAATTATTTGCGCAGAAATCTGTTATGTTTTTAATAGAGAGTATTTGTAATCGCGTGGTTAGAGAAAATTATTAGGCATCGATATCCCCGGACTTATTATAGCTTATGATCAAAGGGTAGTTTTCGCATCATGACACAACAGCACCGGTATACGTTTTACTTAGCTTCAGAAAATCGTTAGCAAACGTGGCAAATGACCCGGTACAGAGAGGGGCAACGATACCAAAGAAGTTGGCGTATATCCATTTCGTTTTAGTCATCCCAGTAAATTCGAGGCCGTTGAATATACGTTCATAGCTGGAACGTAGTAGACTATATCTTCTTTCTTTCATTCAGAGAATGTAGCCGATAAAATTTCAATTAAAACAACGTCTAGCCGTTGTTGACGTTTCCACGGTCCTTTGAACGAATGTACAATCAATTTTCTCTGTTATCTCATGTATTGTCCCACCTGCTCGTTGTACGCGACGTTGAAACTTTATCTTCAGGTAAAATCATGTTGTTTCATCTCTAGGCACAGATAAAACGCGGAATTTTGTTTTGTTATTTATTCTTTTATCTATTGTTTAAACTATGGAAAAGAATATCGAGTTATTAAAATTCAATGTTCAATATCTATTTTTTAATGTATATATATACAATATAAAGTCATATCGAAGTCAAACAATTTCGAATTTTAATGCTTGAAAGAAGATTACTACTAGAAACAATAGTATATTTATTTCATCACAATATTTATTTTTCGAATCTTATTTTTAAATTATGAAAAAAATTATTCACATGAAACATAGTTCATATTTTAAAATAATAAAAATTTACGTTATTCGAATATTTTTAATTCAAATATAAATTTACCGTAAGTAAGATTCCCTCTATTTTTTTTTTTTGCTATACCATGAACAGCGGACCGAAGCGAAATTTCGTTCCGTGTTTCAGCGATTCAGTGCATCCGTGACAGTCGAGTGGTCACGTGGTTTAGTCGTTACGAAGTTTAGTAGTAGGCAGTCAGTCAACGCGTGTATTCGCGTTACTTGCCGCTATAGGTTATGTCATCGTGCGTTTTTTGTGTACAACGAGAACAATTACTCGGACAAAGCTCAAAATTGGAGCACATAAGATGCCGAGTCTTATTGCATTCGGCAGAAGTTG